AGTAGATGTCCCTCAAAGATCTAAAACTGGAGCAAAAAGTTTCTCTTCTAATCTAGAAGTTCCGTTTTCTTAAACGTAAATGGGGGAGAGTAGTAATCTCTTCCTTTAAGTCTTTCCTCAAATTTTACATGAGAGGCCATCCCAGCTATGCTTTTCCAATTATGACCTCATGTCCTCAGCCTTCCTGATTGCTTTCTGCCTTATTTTTTTCTATTACAAGTCACACCTACTAACATACTGCTTAATTGCCTTACTGAGTTTTATCTGTCTTCCTACCCACCAACATCAGTGCCATAGGGCAAGGGTCTTTTCTTATTGTGACCCCAGCCCCTAGTGTAAACCAAGAAATCATAAACAAGGCTCACAAGAGAAGCATAGAGAGTTTTATTTAGGTGCAGAATAGATTTGCAGACTCTGGCTCAGTGTCCACCAAGGTTAGGCAGGACCAAGGCTTTAAAACAAAAAGCGCATGCTTAGGGAAAGATAAGCAGAACTGAAGTGGGTTCAGCCCTGGCATCAACTGGAGTAGTCACAAATTTTTTAAATCCATTGGAATGTCAAGGGCAAGAGGCAACTGGCTAATGACATGTTTGTCAAACTTTGTAACATATTTTTAGATTTTTGGAAAATTGTTATCTCTGTCAGATTCAGTCTTTTGATATGATGTCTATGTGGCAGTTTACTCCTATCAGAAAAATCTCCCAGACTTAAAAAAGGATGTTCGCTTTCTTTTTTACCATTCCGCAGCCATGATGATTTTTTGTTATCACTAGAGCAAGACCAGGCATGTGAGATGCACTCAATAAATATTTGTTGAATGAATGCGTGAAAGATATATGTAAAGCATCTCACAGGATACCTGGCACCTTATGATTATTGCTACTGCTGCTGTTTGTTATGTGTGACTTGTGCAGATTCCTCTGTCTGTCTGGCCCTCTTCTCTCCATCTGTAAAATGAGAAGAGAGAACCATTAGATGATCTCTGCACTTCCTTCACACTCTAAAAACCTCCCAAGTGCCGAGAATCTGCAATGCTCTTGCTGTGTCAACTGTGGAGAAGCATAGATCTTCCTCTATTTCTTTTGACTCTGAGGTTCAAAGGGGGTGCAGAAGTGGGCTGGCTCATGAGTCAGTCCAGTTCTTGGAACTTTTTCCGTTCAGATATTTATATCTTTTATTGTAATTAACTTTGAGGTGTCCTTCCATAACATTGTATTGTTTTCAAGAGATGCAATTTATTACTGTATGTGCATAATAAAAACCATTTAATTTTAATTTCTTGTTAGAACTTTCATAGAAATAAGTGGAGTTTGGAAAAAAGAAATTGGCAGACCAGGAGCTCTGCTTTGGGATTTGAACATGCAGCCTTTGGAGATGAAGGTTACAATGTTCTGCCTTCTGGGGCTCTGCCCCTAGCCTTGGACATCCTTTGTGAAACAGGGTTACTCTTTAAGGGCTCAGGTCGGCAGGGCCAAGCCATCCTCTCTCTGAAGCTTGCTCTGGAAGAGGAAACCTGGAGCCCTCGGGAGCCCTCCCAGTGGCCTCTATGGGAGCAGATTCAGGAGCAAAGGCAGCTAACTTCATGCTGCCAGTATTCGCTGAGTAACTGGGATGGGATGGCCTGGGACGGGGCAGACAGACAGGTCTGGCAAGTTCCGTGTTGTTTATACTCAGGATTACCTCACATATCCCAGCCCGGTTTCCCCGCCCCCATTTGGTGGGGGCCGGCCCTCAGCCTCAACCTCCTTTTCCCCTCATGCCGGGGGAGCCACGGGCCAACATGGCTCTTCTCTTCGACATCAGCTGAGACTGGAAGGCTCATCCATCTGAGGCCATGGAAAGGGACCGCTGCTGGGTAAGTGTGTCTGTGAGCCTTGGGGCTCCTCCCAGCACTGACAGGGCTGGGAGGCAGGTAGGGCGCTGCCACCTGTGTGGCTGGGGTTGTGTGGGAAATTGCATGTGCCTTTTCCTGTTGGAAATTACTTGGGATTGAGAGCTTTTCGTCTTCTTTTTATCACGGTCCCTAGAAGGAGCCCATGGGGGAGAAGCTGATGGGGTTGGGGTCTGGATATGCATCTCAGGGCTGCATGGCTGAATCCTGAATCCTGCTGTGTGGCTTCTGAGGAATCCACCCTGACACGTGAGCTGTTAGGTGGATGACTCTGCTGTGAGCTTGTTGAGAATCTAGTCAAGCCTAAATTTTGCTGACTTGAGAATTAAGAGCATTTTAAACTAATTTTCAAGGTTGTCTTGTGTAACCCATTAGCTAGATTACTAAACCTTCCCAGGAAAGTGTGGCTTTCTATGTGCATTTAAGATTTTCGTGGGGATTTTTTTCAACCACTCTTGATTACTTAGTTCTTGGTTTAACAAGGCTCCGTCTTGGACAGGGCTTCCTTATGTTTAACCATGCTTCCTTCTGCTGCAACCAAGATTCTTCTGCTCCTAGGGATAGTAGAGAACAGCTAGAAAGCAGCACCAGTAATACACACATCAAGGCTTCCCAAGACCTTGTTCATCTGTGCCTCTGCTTTTTCTTGAGGAAATTCCCTTGGTTCTCTAACTTTTCCTTCAGTCTTGTTTTCTGCTCCTCTCTGCATTGTCTATATTTACTGATCTGATAAGATACAGGACTCTGGGAAGAATGGGTCAACCCTAGATTTGAGAAAGGTCAACTTATCCTATATCATAGCCATTGTTTGGCTTGTGGTCCATTCTGAGCCCCAGATGTGTTTTTGCAATCTTCGCCGTCATTTCTCCCACTATTCTTTCAGCCCCCTCTTGACTTTCTCCCCTTAGGCCCCAGCTGCCTCTCTTGGTCTTTTCTCTGGTCTTCTTTTCTCATATCTCCACCTCACCAAAATCATTAGGCCTTAGGTCCCTGGAGCTCAGTGGAGTCTGGTGAGCAGAAAGGGTGGTACATAGGGCAGAATGGGATTTTGTCCAAAACTTAGGGAAGATGAATCTACAGTCACAGCTATGGTGTGTCTTGCTTTGTAGCTTGTTGGGAGCCTGAACTTGATGGTTTCTAAAGTAAGCAGGTGGCCATGTTGCATGTTGGAAGTGATGCTAGGGGCAAGGACAGGGTGATAGAAGTGCTATCTGCCTAGGCAGCTCATCTCTCCAGAGTAAGGGACCAGCAACCAGGGAAGGTTGCAGGAGGAGCAGAGAATGGAGAATAGGCCTTTCACTTTTGATGGAAAAATGAGGACTCCCGTATAAATTATGAACTTAAGTGGCAAAGATATGGTAGATCTCAGGATTATTCTGAAAATAATTTTTCTGAACTTGGAGTGAAAGAAACAAACCATTCCATTCCTTTAAGGTTTTAAAATCTGCCTCCATATATTTAAGGTGAAATGAACCTGGGGTGGAGGCAGGGAGAGCTATAGTTGGGCCTTCTAATCTTGCCTGCAGATGTCTTAAGACTGATCAAATAAGAGTGGGTTGGGAGAAACTGGTCATGTGAGGCCATGCCTTCTCCCCGAGGGTTTTATTGTAGAGAGAAGCATTGTGCTCTTTGTTTTTCAGCTCCAAAAATAGCAAGAAAGATTTGTCTATGGGCTTAGGCCTGGTAATGCTTCCATAGGAACCACTGGGTCTTGGGAAGGATCTTGCAAGGGGCATCCCAGCTATGTAGAAGGTGAATGCATGAGTTCGAGGCCAGCTTGGGTAACTTGGCAAAACTTTGTCTCAAAAAGAAACAAATAGAGAGCTAGGAATATGGCTCAGTGGTTCTGCCACCTCGTAAGCGCAAGGACCCAAGTTCAATCCCCGGTACCAAAAAAAAAAAAAAAAAAAAAAAAAAAA